GTTCTATAATTTACCCGACGATTGGTTAAAGAGTCTCGATGAACACAATCCTGGGTAATTCTCAATAATTATCTTAAAGCAAGTGTTATTGTTAAGTGTTATTTGTTACAAATTGACTTTAAACTGATTCCCAAAACTCCCTCCATTGCTCATTTTGTTTTGGAAATAAGTACCTAATAGTTAAATAACTGCATACAGCTTAGTTTTCACCTTATTTCTTGTGGGATTTGACCCCAACCTAGTTGGATTCTATATTTAACAATGACCGCTTTATGTTCCTTAATTGAAGTGTAAATTAGGGCATATCAATGCACTAATTAATAATCTATCAATTCAGAGTGGTAGTATTGATTAATCAAAGGCTTTAATGGTGATATCAATTATATTTCATTGGAGTTCAACTCATTGAGTCTTTGAAAAACTAGTACTAGTGCAAAGAAATAAGAGTAGTGATACAGATACTTAATTGTGGTTCGAGCTCTGATTTGCGAGTTTTAAAGATAATAATCTGGATCAACAGATCAAGGAAAATTTTGAGAGGAAGAAACAAGTAGATAAAATGGTTTAGCTACTCTTTCAGTCAAGATTTGGAGTGTCTCAATTCCCAAAAAAATAATCAGCTTGAAGAGGGGAGAGAATGCTATTGTTGGAGCTTGACTGAGAGATGAGAGACGATGAAGATGTGATTTCTAACACTTTCCAATTTTAACTAATCAAGTTTGTCTATTTAAAATTTTCTTCTTCTCTATTATTGTTTTTGGATTAGGTCTTTTTTGACCTAATCTTTTTTTATTCTAGTAAACATGGGCTAGGTGTCCTAGTTCTATCATTGTTCTCTTCAATAATTAGTGGCTTTGCCACAATTTTTTATAAAGCAAAATAGAAAAAAACATGTGCAGTTACCAAATGCACAAATTTTAAAATTTTATTTATCCAATAAGAGCTCAAAACTTGGGAAAAATAATTATGTGTGATAAAAAAGTTTTAGAATTAAAAAAAAAGTGACACAACTTATAATGATTGAGTAGAGGTGATAAATTTAAGATTAATGCTAACAACATCAATTTTAAAATCCTTAAATTTTATTATTTACATAAAGCCCTTGTCTTTTCCTCCCCTTCTCTACCCTTTCTACGGACACTACCGTCCTTATTCCTTTTACTACCACTGTTGTTACCACCATCTTCTCCTATGACACTACCATCACCATCTCCTCTTACTCCTCCACTACCTCCTCTTCTTCCTCCTGTATCACCACTACTTCCTCCTCCAACATCACTACTTCCTTCTCTTCTTCCTTCTACTCCTTCCTCTCCTCCATCGTTATTGTTACAATCCCTGCAACCACTATTATCTCCTCCTTCATTGTCATTACCAACACCACAAATCTTCTCCGCTAGAACTATAGTCATCTCTTTCATCGGCTTCTCCTTTATCTAATCTTCTATAAAAAATTGAGCAGTTGTCGAAATTATTGCAACCACTATATCAAAGTTGCTGCAATAATTTCATCAATTATTGCAACAATTCAAACAATCGATAAATTGTTGCAACAATTCAAATAGTTGTTGAAGTTATTGCAGCAACCACAATAACTATTGCAAAAATAATCATAATTGTTGCAACAACAATTATAGTTGCTTGATTTTCTACAAATTTTATTTTAATGTTTTCAAAAATATTAATTATTTCCTTCACAAAATTTTAAAAATTAAATAAAATAATTCGTAAAACTAAAAACAAAAGGATTAAAAGAAGAGTAATATGACAAAGAAGAAATGAATTTTGATAATGAAGTTGAAGTCGATAAAGAAAATAAAAATGTAGAGAGAAAAAGAAAAAGAAAATAGAGGAAGGGAGAGAGAAGTCTTAAAAAGAAAAAAATAAAGAAAAAGAAGAAAAGACAATGAAAGATATAATAAAAAAAGAAAGGGAAATATATATTAGGAGCAGAGATTTTTTAAAATCATCAAAATTTAATATACATCACAAAATTTGTTATGTTTTATCTTTGTACTTCGTTAGGTTTGGGTCTTTCCACCTGTTACGTACAGTTTGCTTAGATTTTTTTATTTGAATAAATGAGGCAGTAGCCCCTACCCTTTTAATTTTTAAAAAATAAAAAAATAGTAATTAATTTAATATGTCCACTTTTCTTGAATATTTTAATTTCAAAATTTGAGTTTTACTCATTTTTCTTTTAGGGTGTGTTTGGTAAGAAGGAAAATGTTTTCTGTAAAATATTTTTTAATTTTTTCATGTTTGGTTGGCTTATTGTTTGGAAAATGTTTTCAAATCAACTCATTTTCTTCAAATTTAAGGAAATTGACTTCCCTTCAAAACTTAAGGAAAATATTTTTCAAAACTCTACTTCATCTTTTGATATTTTTTTTTCTTAGGGAATCTCCAACCCTACACTTTATTTTACTCTTCAAATATAGAGTTCTCTGTTTTTTCAGACAATCAACTCCAACCCAATTCTCTATTTTACTCTCTAAAAAAAATATTTTTCTCTCTCCTCAATATTTATTTCTATTTCATTCTTATTTTCTTATTTCATAATATAAATCCTTTATTTTTCCCAATAATTACTTTATATAATTTTCATGTGATATAAAAAATATTTTTTCAAATTTTTTATTTAATATAAAATTATATTTTATTCTAAATTTTTAAATAACATAAATTGCAAAAAAATATTATATAATATACAAATTAATGGACAAATTCAAATAAAGGTGAAATACAATTACATAAACATTACATAAATACTCAATTTTTGAAATTATTATGTTGCTCCCATAAATGCTCGATTAATGTATTACGGAGTTTAAAATGAGCATTTTTGTCGTTAATTTTTTTTATGTCTGGCTAAAAATTATTTAAATCGACGATTTTTATCTACCACCATTTCTGTCGTTGAAGTTGGAGCCTCTACGCCATCTTGAATTGGTTCATTAAGATCACGTCCATCCTCATTATATCATGTAGCATTTCCTTTCTCCAAAAACGTGATGGTCCTGCAATAATTGCAAAATGTGATTCCAAAACTCCGAATGCACGTTCAACATCTTTTTGGCATGATTTCTTGTTTCATCGTGAATTGATTATTATGTTATGTATTGTATTTTATCTTGTATTTAAATTATTATGTTATGTATTGTATTGTTATCTTATATTTAAATTATCATATTATGTATTATATTTTAAAATTAAAATTCTTATCTTATCATTTTAATTTTGTGTATTCTTTATAGTGAAAATTAATAATAAAATCAAATTATATTATTGACGAAAATTAGAAAAAAATTAAAATACTATTAATTCGGGATGAAAGTAGTATATATTAAATAATATATTACATTTAAAAGAATTGTGAATATTAGATATTTAATTAATGACATTATATGTAAAATAATATATTAATTAGAAAGTAATAGAAATAATAATAAAATATTCAAAAAGTGAAATAGAGAGTGTGAATAGTAGTTTTCATATTCACCTCTCTAACATGAAGAATAGAGAGTGATATGAAGGTGGGTTGGAGTGCACATTCTCTATTTTACTATCTAAATATAGAGAATTGAGAGTAAAATAGAAGTGGGTTGGAGATGGTCTTACCCTACACCATACCTCGTACCGGACCCTCCTCATTCAAAAAAAAAAATTAAAATTTTTAAGTTTTCTTATTTTTTAAATTTCAAATATATTTTTGCTTCTATCCCCAAACCTACCCACAACCCCTACCCCCAAACCAGCCCCCCTCCCCCAAATTAAAAAAAAAAATTCAAAAAATATTTCAAATTTTTAATTTTTTTTCTACTTCACCAAACTCCTACCAGGCTACCACCCCTACTCCCTCTCCCCTCCAAAAAAATGTTTTGGACCCTCCCACCAAGGCCACCCCATGCCATCTCCATCAATTATATTTTTTTAAAAAATAATTAATTTTGAGAATTATTTCAATTTTTTTTTTCATTTTTTACGCCATTCCCCATCCTTCCCCCCCCCCCCCCCACCCCTACCTAGGCCACCCATCAATTTTTAAAAAAAAAAGACTATTTCTGGAAAATATTTCAAATTTTAAAAATAATCAATTTTTACGCTACACCCCCGATGCCATCTTCGTCAATTTTTTTTTTAAAAAAATTGTTTTCAAAAAATATTTCATGTACCAATCAAACATTAAAAAAAAATTTCTACTCAACAATCAAACATAAGAAAATAAACTAGAAATTCTAGGAAAACATTTCAATGGAAAATATTTCCCTTGGTACCAAACACACCCGTAGTGTCACGGATGAGGAAAGACTCAAAATAGTCCCTCATCTTTGAGTTAAGGTTCAAAGTCATCCTTGAGTTTTCACATCGAGCACTAATAGTCCCTCATGTTTGCAATATTGTTGCACTTTTGGTCATTCTCCAAAATTTTGCCTATTTTTTAACATTAATTTTGTCCACAATTTTATGTAAGGAATGTCCAATTGTCTTTTTATATATTTAGTAGAAATAATAACTCTATGTGAGAGAATGTGATAAGAAGAACACATTGTTATGTTCAGTAGAAGTATTACTGCAGCTAAACTAAGAACATCTTAACATATGACGTTGGAAGAAACGAAAAAAAATTTGTACTATTGCACGTGAAATTATCGTGATGAACCTCTCGACTTTACATGCAATACAATTTCTACTGAACAAAACAAGATATTTTTCTTCTCACATTCTCTCATATGGAATTATTATTTCTATTAAATATATAAAATGACGATTGAACATATCATACATAAGTTATGGATAAAATCAATATTAAAAAATAGGCAAAATTTTGGAGGACCAAAAGTGCTCCAATATTACGAACATAAGGAGCTATTAATACTCCATGTGAAAATTTAAGAATGAGTTTGAGCTTTAACCCATGTATGAGGACTATCACGGATACAGAAAATGATTCCCTCTTTGCACTATTTCACTATTTATAGAGGGTTCCTTGCTTGTGTAATGTATGAATCTCCTGGATCGAGCAAGTAAAGTGGGTTTGTGAGATGAGCTCTTCAAGCTCACCTACTCGATCTCAAGGAGAGAGACCAAGGACTTTTGACGGTGAAGCTAAAAGGATCTGCTGGGCCAAGGCTGAGACTGTACCCGGTCGACATCCTGAACGCTGGCGGAAAGATTCCGCCGGAAACATTCTCTGCAAACGCCTCTTCAATTGTCAAGGCTGTCTTTGCTTTGAATATGATCACATCATTCCCTTTTCCAAAGGTCTACCTTCTTCCCTCCCATTAGTCTCTTTCCCCTATTTTTACCCTAAACCAACTAGTTTGTTCTTGAACATTCCGTCATCAACTTGTCATTGAGGATTGATTGTTTGTTTATTACTCTTTAACTCAATTTTTGGAAATGGGTTCGGAGTTTGATATATACGATGTATATTCTCAATCCCAGCTAATTTGGAATTGAGGCTTTGTTTATTTTAGATATAAAGTTCTAATTTGCCCCTGTAATTTACTGGGAAAACTAACTTTCTTTGTGCTGTTGGAATTTAGTGTATAATTTTGTTTGAATAGGTTAGATATAAGGAGGGAGTTGCAAGGCTGAAATAGTTGTTTTATATAAGGGAGATGATGTTCTATGTAGTCATTCGTCATTTATGTTGACAGGGAAGAATCTCATATGTAGTTTTCCTGCGCCAGAAACTTTTCTTTTGAGTGAAGGGTCTATTGGAAACAATCTCTCTACTTCACAAAGATTACTGGATATGTTGTTGTTGTAGTATGTTATTCTTTATTTTTACTACTACCTTTTGCTTCATTTGCTTTGTTTATTTTGCTATTTTGTTGTTATTTTTCTTTGATTACACCTATTTTGAGCCGAAGATCTATTAGAAACAACCTATCAACCCCACAAAGGTAGGGGGTTAAGGTCCGGGTTCATCATACCTTTCCCAGACCACACTTGTGGATTTCAGGGAGTATGTTGTTGATTCACACCGAAAACTGATTTTGGATTTTTGTTGTTTAGTGATTTTAATCATTTGGATAGAATATTAACCGATGAAAAGTTTCCTTTTCTATTTCTTTTCACGTCCGGTGGTTGGGTGATAGAGGTGGAGATGGGTCTCTTAAGCTTTTATTTGGTGGTCAATATATGGTTAATGCACCATTTAAAATGTGTTTTCTTATGCAGGGGGTGAGTCCATAGCAGAGAATTGCCAGATCCTTCAGACAAGGGTGAACAGGCTTAAATCCAATAAGGATGAGATTGATATTAGTCGGTTAAAAAGCTACTCCTGTGATATCAAGTTCACTGGTATTCTACTTTGATCTTTCCCTATTTGTTCTGCTTCTATCACTTGTCACGGTATCGATCTCTATGGCTTCTGGACTAGCCACACCAGTGGAGATATGTGAGCTATATGATAGTTTTGTTACTTCTGTAGCCTCTTAAGATTAGAAGTCTGTGATTTCCTTGGTAATTTTAGAGCTAAAAGTCATTGCCTGATCTGCCACTGGATTACTGGATCACTTCCGAACATTATCCTGAAATGATCTTGTTAACATCTGGGATTAAACTTTAAAGTGTCATTGTACTTGTTGTAATGATTTTATTTTTATGGCAGTTTTTAGGTATTTCCATGTTTTCAGGTTTAACTAGATAATTTGACACTGTTCATAAATGGAGGTATAGAGATGTAATATCAATTAAAGTGGAAGGCAAATTGTTTTGCATTATAATAAGAAATTATGTGAAAAATTGCTTTTGTTTGGTATTTGGTTTGAACCCAAGTTGCGTTTTCATGGTTGTCATTGTGATGGTTTTTGTGGGGATTTCCTTCTCAGATAAATACTTTTCCATTCAGTACTCTTTTGGTCCCTGCTAAGGTCTCATTTCTATAAAAAAAAAACATTCATCAGATTCGGGGCAGTAATACAGTATGAATCCGTCACATTAAGATTAATCTTTACTTGTACATCTTTTTGTGCCTCCTACGGCCAGTAGCAGTTAGAGAAGGTTTTTGATTCTAAGCTGGTTGCTGAATCCAAATTGAAGTTTTGTTTAGAATTGAGTCCTAGCTCTTATTGCATTACTGTAGTGAGAAGGTATGATGTAGAAACAGGTGTTACAGAACACGACAAGTAATAGAACTGTTTTTCTTTTATGTGAACGTGGATTTAGACAGTTCTTTTGAAACTATGTAGATTGTATCTTCTTTGTGATTGTTCTTTCGTTTTCATTTTTTTTTTGCTTGACTATTCTTTGACAATGTAGATCCTATCAGAGATAAGATACTCTTGTAAAAGATCAAGCAAAGGAGAACTATATTCTTCCACCTAGAAGAATTCTTTTGTTATGTTAGCTAGACATAGTTTAAATACATAAAGAAATTTCTTTATCTTGGTAGATGCTGCCTAACTTCCTCAGAGTAGCAAAGCTTACGATCTCTATATTATCTTCTCACTAAGGATAGGACCAATAACATTTGCTTGGATCTTTCAACTGGTTAGATCCCTCTCCCTAGTTGTGCAAGTCTTACCCGTTCTTTCATTATATAGCACATGCTTGTAGCACAACAGCTTTGGCAACTGTAGTTAATGGAATGGGTGTGGTATTTCTTTTTCATTTTTGTTTTGTTTTTGTACAAAGTATATAGACCGGTAAGAATAGGGGACTAATAATGCCGCCTTCTTCTACACAATTAGGACAAATAGAGATATTCTTGTCTGGAAGGTTAGGGTGGAAAATGGTATATGGTATACGATTTTCTATGGATTCTAACATAAGTTATCCACCCTTGAAGTCCCTTAAAATGTATAGTGATTAGCCATTCTTTCCAACTTCACACAAAATTGGACATATATATTAAAGTTGTCAAGCCCTCAAGGTAGGGGTGTTCACGGTTTGGTTTGGGTCGGTTATTGGTCAAAACCAAAACCAAACCAACTTAATCGGTTTTAAAATTATCAAAACCAAACCAAACCAAATATAATATACATTTATCGGTTTGGTTGTTTTTGGTTTTGGTTTGGTTTGGTTCATTATTCGGTTATTAACCATACATAAAAATAAAAGAAACAATTCATTCAAAATGTAAAAAAAGTGACAACAATCCATTCAAGCAAAAAAATAGTTATAATGACTGGCATTACATAACTTTTGATCATTGAATTTACTGAATAAAACTTCAAAATTCACTATTTTGGCATAGAAGGAAGAGACTGACATTTTCAGTCTCACAAAGAATTTCCATAGACACTCATATACATGAAACCAATAAGAAAAATGTTCTCACCTTGGACATTTTTTCTTTCATAAGTAAATTATAAATAAATTTTGATGAAACATATATAAAATCTTTAAAATTGTTTATGAATCTAATATATTATGTATGTATAATAATAAAATTTATGTATATAACTTGTTGGTTTGTTTCGGTTATTTCTTTGATTTTTTTTGAACAAAATCATAACCAAACCAAATATTATCGGTTCTTAACAATCTAAAACTAAACCAAACCAAAACCCAAATTAAATCGGTTCATTTAATCAGTTTGATTTGATTTTTCGGTTCAGATCGATATTTATCCAAACCATGAACACCCCTACCCCAAGGCCTAGCTCAAGTGGCAAAAGGTGGAGGATTCGTGGCTTAGGTCGCAGGTTCAAGCCCCACACCGTGCAAAGTGAAGCCCGGTATTTAAGTGGAGAGGGGTAGAGGGGTGGGTCCATTATCCACCGAGTTTAGAAGGCTGTGATTGGTCCAAAGGGCGGGTCACAGACGGATTTCTCGATTATCAAAAGAAAAAAAAAAATTAAAGTTGTCAATTTTTTTTGGCATAATACATAAATATGCTCTTTAAATTAGCTTCAACTCACATTTATGTCCTCCAACTTTGGGTGTGCACAATGTAGATACTCAAACTTGTATAACGTTGAATAAGTAGACACATGAGTGTCCTACCTGGCATAATACGCGTTAGGCCCCATGTAGGACTCAAATTGGCATGTAGGATGCCACGTAGGATGCGTGTGACTTTATACAAGTTTAAGTGTCTATTGTGCATACCCAAAGTTAGAGGGCATAAATGTGCGTGAGGCCAAGTTAAATGACACATTTATGTATTATGCCATTTTTTGTTTGCAGCAGTGACATTTTACTCTATTACTCCTGATACTTGCCATAAAACTTGGGCCATGCAGATAAAGAGCTTGATGTTATTGAAATGGCTGTTTATGGGGATGTTCTTCGACCTGGAAAGCAATGCCGTTGTAGAACTGTTGCTGAAGTGCTAGGCCAATATAAGTCAAAGGATCGGGCTGGTCCCTGCAAGTTACCATATGCAGATGAATTATAGCAGGCAGTGAAGAGAACCTTACATTTCTCAGTTGTATTGTTTGTGCAACTCATTAATATTGTTGTATTTCAATGGCTTCAATTGAAGTTCAATTGTTTATGTAGCTCAGCAGCTAATTGAGTGAATTGTTGTAACTTTGGTGGATAGAGTGTCGCTTTGTGAACTTAAGTGTGTTGAGTGAGTCCATGGAATTTCTCAAGATTGATGGTGAGTAATGCTAAAGCCATTTGCACCAACTGAGCTTTACTGTTGTCACCTTCTTATCTCCCTAAAATTTTGAATTGGGCCTGATTTAAATGAAATGGATACACAGGAGTCCTATAGGTGATCTGACTAATTTGGAATCGCTTGATCTTGGCTGGGTTTGTGGTGAGTTGAGTATGGTTTCAAATTTCAATCATGAAATCTATATTTGTGGTGGTGAGTTATTTAAGTCTTCAATTAAGTATTGGTGATTATTTTGACCAAAATATTAGATTAAGTTAATTGGGGACTCATTAACATTTTCAAAGACTTTTAATCTTTTTAAAAGTACAAAACAATCCACGCTTAAAATAAACAAAATCTTCACTCCCTCTCTCAAACATTCTCCTCAATTGTACGTCTCTCTCAATCTCACGGCTGCTTTTTCTCTCAAAGTTGAAAATTGTTCTGTTCTTCCAACCAACTCCTCCAGCAACTTTCAACTTCAGACTGCTTCAACGTTTCATCTTCCGACAACTACTTCTTCCATTCTAACTATCAATTTCTCTCTCTTCGCAAGTAAGGTGAAGACTTTATTTATTTGGAAAACATTAGGGCTTTTTTTTGTTTTAAAGAAAAAGAACTTTTCAAGTATTCATTAACAATTTTAAAATTTGATGCTTAAAATAGAAAAACAAACTCGAGAAAATTTTAATTTGTGATATTTGTTCTCTTAACTCATGTTTGATGTAAATGTGATATCTTTTTAAAGCGAAATATGATTATTAATTTTTTCTTGTTGTTCTCAAACATTGTTTTCTAAGTAGTGATGATGAATTTTATTTTTTTCGGATACATTTTTGTTATTTGTAATTCTCGAACAACTGTTGATATTTTTGGCTTATTTGTGTTGTTGTATTATACTAGTATACGTGCCCGCACGTTGCGCGGAGATTATTAAAATTTATTTAATTGTTCAAATATATTACATCATTTTGATTTTATTAAAATATAATTATCATCATATTTTTCATGCAATGTACTTAATATCATAAAATTTTATATAACTAAAGGAACAAATCATATAAATGCATGCGCACGATCATCAAATAACATTTTTGAAAAAACTAAATATGATAATTATATATTTCTTATACAAACGTTTCAAAAATATATTATGATTAAAAATAAATAAGAATGAAAGAATTAAGAGAATATGTTGGTACACTCTCTCAAATTAATATATGAAAAAAAATTATTTATTATTTTCTTTCAATAGAGAGATTTTGCGTAAATTAAATAATTTATTCATTTTCAAATTTTTTTCATAATGATTTTAAAATATTTATCTGAATAAGAAATTCCTCATGTTAATGGTCAATTTAAAAGTTGTGTACAAAAATACATGACATCTCTTTATTCATTTCATATTGATCAAGTTTCTACGCTTCTACTCCTCTAAGTGTTATCTAAGTAAGCTAAACATTATTTTTATATATAAAAAAGGAAGACTGACTCTTCAATTATAAAAAAATTTATTTTTGAGTTGAAAAATTGTATATCCACTATAAAAGTTAAATATGTGATAGTTATAACTAATAAGCATTGCATTAAGTTATGGAATAGTTTAAAAATTAAGTACCTTAAAAACATGATTTATATTTTAGATTATATAGCCATATATTATGGGAATGTAGTTAATCATTTCCATAAAAATAGGCTCATTAAGAGTTGAGAGATGATATATTTGAAAAACAGTTATAAATTGTTAAAGACAATATTTCTCAAAAGTCTAAACAAAATTTAATAACAGTTAAAATTATTTTAATGTTAATTATAAATACTGTTATTTTAACATATTCATTTTTGCCTATATTTATGTGGAAACAACTGAATGTATTTCAAATTCATTGTTGTCCATATTAGTAATTATTAGATTTAAAATTTTTATTTTATAAAACTTAAATTGTTAAATGTTTTAAATTAATTTTGTGAATTCAATATAAGTTTTGTTTTTAAAAGACCCCATTATGCATGGAACAATTATTTCAGCCACGTATTCATAATTAGTTAATACTTATTTGTAATTAGTTAATACATATTTTATTAATGAAACAATGCAATCTAAAAATACGAATGTGTCTTAATATTTTGGAAATCAATTATTTTTCTTAATTGTTCTCTCCAAATGTTTTTGCCCTTTTTGAATGTGTCTGAGATTACGCATGTATATGTATATTGTGTTGGGGGCAGAGCTTGACCTTTTTTTTTATTTGAATTTGCAGTTTTTATGAAAAAAAAATTAATTTTTGTGGTGGTTACTGAGTAAGTTTACACATATTTTTAAATTTTAATTAAATTATTTTTTTATTTTTTATTTTTTTATTTTATAATCTTAAATTGCAATTTCAAACTATTTAATTTTTAGTTATTTATAAACTAATTTTAAAAAGGATAATGAAATTTTTGGAAAACAGTTACGTTGATTGGTGAAGAATTATCCGTTTGTTTGAATATTTTATCACTAACCACTCCTTTTATTTAGGATAGAAGTGGGAAGTTAATGTGCAGTTAAAATATTTTTTTATTTCTTATTTCTCATTATTATTAAATAAAAATGTGCAGTTAGATGGTTCAAATTTTAAAAATACCTTTCCAAAAAAAAGGACCACAACGTTGAATTTTTTTAGAAAATATTTTTTTTTATTTTTATTTTTAATTTTCTTTTTAGTGTTTGAAATTTCTATTTTTATTTTTAGAATTCCAATTAATTTTAATAATTTACAAATTTTGTCTTTTTTTTTGGTAGTGCTGACAATAAACATTATAAATTTTTTAAGAGTCCAAAGCGTGTTAAAAAATATATAACAATTATCTTTTTATTTATTAGTTTTATTTTCAATATTTGATGATTTATGTTTTTATTGGTTTATTTTTAAAAAAAATTATTTTTAGATTTTAATTTAATTCTTCTTTGTGGTAAGTTTTTTTCTGATTTTTATAATATACAGATAAATAATATATATATATATATATATAGATTATTATTAGTATAATAATAATAATTATTATTATTATCTATATTTGTTTTTCTTTATATGAGGAGATTGTGGAAAGATGGTTAAAATTAAAAATATACCTTTCCACAAAAAAAGGACCACAACTTTAGAGTGTTTTTTCTTAATAAATACATACACATAATTAATTTTAATTTTTTTAAAATCTGATTTAGTGTGGTGCTGACATGTGACACTTTTTCTTTTCCTTTTATATGTGCAGTTAGATGGTTCAAATTTAAAATTTTAATTAAATTATTTCTTTTTTTATTTATATTTTATAATCTTAAATTGCAATTTCAAACTATTTAATTTTTAGTTATTTATAAACTAATTTTAATAAACTTTATTGTAACATCTTTTAAAACAATTTTAGAAGTAGAGAGTTAACGTCTGCGGTTAGAATTTTTTTAGTTTTTTCTTTTTAATATTTTTTACGTGTAATTTAGTAGAAGTAGATAATGTTAATAAACTTCATTATAACACCTTTTATATATGCTTTCACTATTTTTTTTGTATAATTTTTTTTAAAATAGCATTCTTTTTCCGTTTATTTTTTAAATACAGATTAAAAAAGATTGATTAAAATTTGTAAATTGTATTTTAATTTTAATTAATAGATTATATAAAGTTAATTTTACGTAATTATTAAATTAGTGATCATAATCTGAAGTTGCATATATATATGAATAAGTATAAAAAAAGTATTAAAAATTAAAAAATAAAACAAAAAGAATTGGACTTATAAAACATATAATTAACTTTCAGATTATTTAAAATATAATATATTTAATTTCTAATATGTACATACTTATATGTATAGATTTTCCTGGAAAAAAATGCTCAATTTTAAAAGTTTTTGACTAATTTTCTACTTGTTGAAAGAGTGAAAGATTAACATTGAAATATGGAGATGATCTTCATGTAATTTTTCAATGTCACTGAGAGATTCATCATCACTATCTAGGCCACTAATGTTATTTCATGAAACTATCTTCATTGATGTCTTTTGATTTTATGCTTTGATCAATAAACTTACTTTCTTGGTTGCTTCCATTTTAAAAAAATTAAAGATAAAACTTACGTGAATTCATGATTGCTTTAAAAAACTTTCAAGCATATATGCAAAATCTTGTAAATATTCAACCTAAAGATAAATTATTTCACATCTAATATTATCATACTCAATATTAAAAATAAAAAAATAATCCATAGTCACAACATAATTAAAAAAATAAAAATACATTCATTCATTTTTGAGAGTTTTCAATTTCTTTCATAATTTATTTATTATTTTTTAATCCTCTATATAGTACATAAAAAACAACATATTTCCTAACAAAATAGGAAGAAAAAACACATAGGCCTCAAAAAACAAAAAAATGAGATTTTCCCATAATTACCACAAAGTCTGTTCAGTACCATAGTTTCCAACGAATTCCTCTTTCTTGAGATATGAATTGCTCACTTAATTGTTCAACTTCTCTTGATTTTTCTCGATCATTTTTTCTTGACTCGATTATGATCATAAATTTGTGCCTCTTTTAAGAAGGATAAAGAAATTTTTGGAAAACAGTTACGTTGATTGGGGAAGAACTATCCGTTTGTTTGAATATTTTATCACTAACCACTCCTTTTATTTTAGGATAGAAATGGAAAGTTAATGTGCAGTTAAAATATTTTTTTATTTCTTATTTTTTTCACTATTATTAAATAAAAAATGTGCAGTTAGATGGTTCAATTTAAAAAATACCTTTCCAAAAAAAGCACCACAACGTTGAGCTTTTATAAAAAAAAAATTAATTTTAATTTTTAATTTTCTTTTTAGTGTTTGAAATTTCTATTTTTATTTTTAGAATTCCAATTAATTTTAATAATTTACAAATTTTGTT